TGCATGTTAATAGATTTTGGAACCTTGGTTGGCGAACAAACCGTTTAACAGACCCAAATTCCAAACAAATATTGCTATAGTTCAAGAGATGTGCTTCCAGCTGGCTCACGCACATGAATACCGTTCACTAAGAAAATAGTGTGTGCAAATAGTCTGAAAGGATGTATCCATCCATTTTATTGCATCGTCACTTCCAATAAAATTGGACACCAGGCTCAACATATTAACTGCACATGGAATAAACAAAAACGTTTATTAAACTTCCGCTTTTAGTTTCTAAAAAAGTTCCGGCAGGTAATTTTATGCCTGATGCCTTATTTTATTTATTGCCACAGGACTCATGGAGTCAAAATTAAACAACCATTACAGAATTGTTTTCTGTCCACTTACTGAAACATTGATGACAGCATGGAATTTGATTGAATGCTATTGTGTTGTAATTTCATTCTGTCAGTTTATTGCTAACAACTGCTTTTGAAACTGATGCATTTTAAGGATGATTAGGTCTCTAGGTTACATGGGGGTGTCAGCTTGTCACGAACCTATAATTGACTGCTCAAAATACATTGACAGTCCAACAACATGAATCTAAGCAAGGTTGTTAATTTGATCTCTGCGCTATATCAGAAACAGTCAAATCTGGTGATTGATTTTTAAAGAGAAAACAATATTGACTCTCAAATTGGGTCACCATCCCCAGCCCAGTGTAGAAAACCATTTCTGACAACCACCCAAATGCTATTGTTCAATTTACGAAGAAGGGGTTTGGTGGGAAGAATGTTTTTCATGTGTGGTTGCAAATTTTGGTGCACCTAGTTTAGTGCTGGCACACCCCAAGAAAACAAATTGGGCGCACTAGTTCAACCAGTGCAAAAAGTTACAATAGTCTCAAGCACTGGTACAACTTTAACAGTCTCACGAATAGTCTGCCTTCCCTGAGCGTGCGGTGTCAGTTAAGCAGCTAGCTTAGAGTCCTTCAAAAAGCGTCCACGTGTGGTCACATCAACCTGTTTATTGACGCTCAGTTGATTTTTACTTGAAAACTAACAAAATAAAAACAGGTACAAGCCCTACAGGTATATGACAGTAAACACATACTGGAGCATCATCGGAAAAAGGTCGGCTAACTAACACATTTTGAAACCCAATACACAGGCTAATGATTTACATAGATTGAAAATTGATATAATGCTCGCGTGGCTGTGAAAAATGAGTTATATTATCACAAATTGGACAGAATGGTCTTCTTTGTGGCTTTTCATTAAATGTATGCATGATCTTCAACAGTGCACCACAGTGCCCTCTGGAGGCCAGGGTGCGCAGGAGGAGTCTTAGCCATGTCCGATCATATTTTGAATGATGTTCTATTACAGTTGGTGTTTTTGAACAAGTTTTGATTGCCATGAATCACAGTGCCATTCATTGCCATCACAACTACAGACCATGCTCCAGTCAATGGGTCACCAATCTTTTTCAAACCAAGAACTACTTCTTGGGTATTGATTAATGCAAAGTTTAATACAATTTTTTTTAGATAACAAATTAGCTAAAATTACCATTGTTAGTTATTATCAATTAATTAATTTCAACGCTGGGCAAGACACTGGTCGTGTTTATGATCTCTCACTGAAATTAGAAGACAACTATGTGCAACACTTGAGATCGCTTGTACTATACAACATTCTTACAAAATAAGTTCCCATCGGTGGTGGCCTATTTTTAGAACATTCTCACGGGGCTACTCATGTGGTCCCCGGGGTCTACCTGGTACTCACGGGTAGTTCATTTGTTCAGTCTCTTTTTACTCAGTCTGAAAAAGGGTAATTGTATTTTGCTTACAGGTTTTCTCCCACAATTAATGAGACAAATACATTTGGATGAAAACAGGAAGCCGCATTAATGGCCAGCCAAATCTTGTCCCATGGCCTTGAGTCTGACATTTACACTTTAAAGGTCCCACGAGTAGATGAGACCTTGTTAACTGACCGTGACCACAAAACTCGAGTGGCTGCAGAATAGCAATGCAATGCAATCAATGAACGTAAATGCTACATTATTATACATCTGCAGGCTTGTCAGAGGTTGTTTTTGGTGGAGTAGGTCGCTCCAAAGCGGAAGCTCCCCCACTCACTTCCTCATTGTGGTCATGCGCGTACCCAGGGTGGAAGAGCTCGTTTAAAAGAGCGATGTGTAGACACTTAAACGCCGAAGGAACATGCCAATTAATAGCAATATACCCTTGATAATTACAGCCGGGAACGCGCATTTGATTTAAAGAACAGGGAATGCGCAGTTAGGCCGACACGGTGCATAATTCCCGTGACACTCCCTTTAAGGCGAGCACGGTGCCCTTTAAACAAACTACAATTACACTCGGCTCCTATCTAAAGTGTTGAAATCATCCACGAACGCTAAAAAGAGCGAGAAAACAAAAACCACGAAACAAACTGTAACATTTACCCAACGATTTCGAATGAGGATAATAGTTTACCAAAAAAGTCGTTCGAGATGCCCCGAAGAGAGTTGGTTATAGCTGATTATTTACACCGAACCTGCTCGAACAGACGCCGAATTCGGTTGCTTAAATCTTATTTAGTGTCGCTGGCTCGGTTCTTACCTACACAGTGGATAAGTTTGTGCCGCCATGAGTCAAGTTCTTGCCGAAAGCCGCGCCTGTCGATGGAGCATTGCTGCCTTTTGCACTGACTCGCCATTTTCTGTCGTTCTTCTCCGGCGGCGGGCACCCGCACGCTGAGAGGAAGCTCTTGGACGCGTGAACGCGCGCGTCGACGTGCTGTGTGGAGGGGGAAATCCTACTTCCCACTCACTCCTTTCAAAACACACTCTTGTTTTATTGTATTGTATTATGGAGACGATCCAATACAATGCATCTTTATTTATACAGCGTTTTCACCACAGCCGCAGCTGTAGCACTAGATGAAATATGCCAGTTGTTCTCAAACCTACCTAAAAATATATACTTATCTCTCCAGTAGCACCATGATGACCAACAATAAAATATCCTCGCTGTGAAGACCCAAGAGTTCATCAAATAGGAGACAAAGGGTTTATTCCTTAGAAAATATATTAAATATTATTGTTAGCTCCTGTATCATTAAAATATATTTCACATCAATGTTAAATAATAATGGTACATACATAAATATTTGAAAACATTTCTGGAGCGCTGATGTTCGCAAGGCCAGGCCGTGGGCACTTAAACGTTAATTTCAGTCACAAGTAGATGGCGTTACGACATGAAATGTCAGCCTCTTTGGATGGTTGAAAAAGGGGGATTAGCCTTCGGAATTCTTATTCCACGAACACAGTCTTAATTAGGAAAGGTGGATGTTGTCGGTCTCTCGGTAATGAGCTTCCGTTAGTATTTCAGATCGGTACACGTGGGCCCAGGCCTTCCCTCGTCCGCGACAGTCATTTGTCATTGAGAAGGTAATTTCTACGTAAAACAAGCAGACACACAGCCAAATAAAGGAAAAACAAACAAAATAAAAACAACACACACACACACACCTACATCGCTTGGCGATTAGTGAAATAAAAACAATATGGGACAATGCCATTGCGGTCTGTGGAACCAGAAAGTATTATGTACAGCACTGTTTAATTTTTAATTTATTTGACTACATGTCAGTGATGTGGCACCCGTGTGTGACGTAGTGCCGGTAAGTCTGTTCTTCGACAATGTTTGGCTGTCACGACGACTCGAATGGGCTTTGGCTGGCCTGAAATACTAACCAAAGCTCACAGGCGGACGGTTCTGCTGTGTACCATTTTCAAAGTAGCACAGTATGGTACATGTTGACCTATATATTACACATATTTTACTTTTTGTATTTGTTAGGAAAACAACTCTTTGCCTTTTTTTAAAGCTATTTTTAAAATATTCAAATTGGAGATATCTCTAATAGGGCAGTGACTATCTAATATGTATGATGTGTACTACACTTCTATTTGTGGGGCAGTGACCTAATTTGTAACCAGGACAACTATTCAAACTATTTGTTTCTTCCAACAACAAACTGCCACAGAATCCTATATAATTATGTATTGTTGATAGCTGAGAAGTCATAATAGTCATAATGGAGCCACTTGGAAGATTTATCACTGCCTTATCATCTTTACGCAGACTCATTACACAACCATAATAAAGCGTGACTTAATCACAAGCAAGCTGCTCTCTGGAATAATTGCTCCCCACAGATGAATATGATGTGAAACAGACATAGACAGCAGATGTGTTTGAATGCTCCAACGTGCTCATTCAAGAGATGCAACAGTGAGGGGTTTACGCTTAAAATTAAGTGAATTAAATAAATATAATGGTTGTACAGTTACCGGCTTGTGCATTTTATGCAATAGACGTTTCGATAGCACTCCTATATAGCAGCTTGAGCGTGGATTTGACCCACAGCCTCTGACCTGTGACTAGTTCACCATGCCGCCTTCTCAAAAATCAAATCAAATGATAGATGACGTCCTACTAGACAGAACTGGTATATGTGCTTTCAAAATCCCCAAATCTTTGGCAACACACCAGGTATATGCCTATTACTAGCATTTGTGGACGTGCTGTTTTATGGTGACAATAAAATCCAGACTTTATTCAAAGTGTTCCAATCTTTACACATGCCATACATAATAAATGTAGCCTGAAGGATATTAAAGTGCACCCTGCATTGCCGCTGTAATGAAGCACCGCTTGTCCAATCAGAGGGACTTTTTTTTTCAATGAGCAAATACACTCAGGCAATGAAAAAGTAAGGAGGAGGGCTGCTCGCCATGGTGCTGTTGTAGTGATGCCTTCAATGTCTGTCGGAGTTTTGTGAGCCCAAGTAGGGAAGGGGCTACAAGCCCTATAGTACGAGTGTGTCGTAACATCACTTTATCGGAAATTTTAGGTTTTCTGAAGATATAATACATTGGAATATATATAAATATCGACGCGTGGTATTCGAAATGTTTATTTAATGTTTCTAAATAGAATTTTCACTTTACGAGAGACACACGAAGGTAGCATACGGTCCTCAGCCAGTTATCATATTTTTTTACGCCCCTCGGCTGCTCCACGTCGCCTACATGCTTCAGAGACAACAAACGTAGCGTACAGGTAAATAAATAAGCATTCATAAGATTTAATCTGCTCGCTTTTGAATGCACAAATGTGCCGTTAGATGTGACAATTGACTCGATGACAGAAGCGACATAATGAACACCAATTTGCCTGAACGCTCAATCTAAACACATAGAACGACATTTACTGTTTTTCTTTTTTCCTTTAATAACAATCATAACCGACAGCGTTTTATTCGATAGTTTTATAATCGCGAGCGTGTGCGTAAAATGACACCTGGCTGCCATTCTGTAACACTTGTTTTCAGCAGCATTTGTTGTTCGAGTCACATTCTCTCATTTCTGTCATTAAAAAAAAAAACATTTTTAAAAATAAATTCTGTGGGGCATTACAACATTATACATCAAATATTTTACCATGTGGTTATATATAGTAAGGCAATTGATGGCATTCAAGTGCACCTTATAAGGTCAACACAGTGGAAACCCTCCATTTCTATTGTAAATTTTACTAAAATTATCATTTTTATGTGATTTAACTTTACATTTAATGAAGTTTAATTACAAATATATTCTGCTTATTTGCACCTGACATGGTTTCAATGAAAAAGGTCATGACAACATTTTTAATTTGTGTGCATGCATGGTAGCATCTTAACATTAAGACATGAAACATTTTCCCATATGGTAATGTACACTGATGCTGGTTCCAACAATATTGATCACATTATTGGCCACCATTGGGCCAACCTCAATGTATCGAGTAAATTTCTCTAAAATTAGCAGTTAATATGGTTTACCTGACAAATCAATCTTTTTAACAGTATAATGATATGGTGTTCTCATGTATCCATCCAACTTTGTGACATACATGACTAAAAGACGCAAAGAGACAGTTCTTCTTTTCTCCGGTGAGACTGCGATAATCCCGTTAGGGCGATTTATTTCTGCGGCAGTGGCCATCAAGTGTGAGGTCAAAGGTAAATCTCATGTGCATGGATGTGTTTGTCAGATAGAAGGGGCGACATGACTTTGACCAGAGGCTCCTTCACCTATGCCACTGGAGAGGAGTACCATGGCGAGTGGAAAGAAGGCAAGTGAATGTCCTTTAGTCTCATTTAAATGTTTATTTTCAATCTGACATGTTTCTTGACTTTGGGTGAGGAGCGCGTTACACCCTGGACTGATCGCCAGCCAATTGCAGAAAACGTGTAGACAAACAATCATTCATCAGTCATGTTCGTAACTAAGGACCATTTAGAATCTTCGATGAACCTAACATGCATGTTTTTGGGAATGGGGGATATAATTAGTAAAGTAAGAAAATGAGCTTCCCTCTCATCTGAAGATTATTGTCAAACTAAATACAAAATAATTGAATTGCATGTCGTGCATTTCAAACAACTGCATAGCCTCCGCTAGTTTAATGCACCAAAGGCAGGCTAACAATTAGCATCTAAGTGGAGCAAATATCTGAACACAAGTGGTGCAGCAACACATGCCGAGGGGGAAATAACAATGCTCACAGGCATGTATTTATTCTCTGAGAAAAACGACTAATGATCCTGCCACGCTCTGAAGCTGAGAAAAGCCTCCAATGCCGTATTTTCATGTCCGCCTTATACTACCTCCACAAGGCCAAGGCATGCACACCAGAATGACTAACATGATGTGTGACGAGAACTGTTTCATTCTTTTTAAACTGTATTTAATTATGTAATTACTGAATGCTATTGTATAGCTGTGCTTGACGTGTATACCACTTTTCTACGCGATCACATCAGTTTCTGGTTCTATGGCCATTACTGGTCTGTGGATTTTTGTACAAATTATATGGCTATTCTATAGTGTATCATTTTTTTTTAATGCTTTCCCATCAAATTCTCGCAAGAACACTGATTTAGAAGCTTTTGGGGAGATCCCGTAATGTTAGCTGACATGAAGACTCAAGCTGTTTTTGTGAAATCATCATGATGAACAGATCTATCTTCGACTTTAGAATTCTTGGGCAGGCTGTTGTTGGGCAACCAAAGTTACTGACTTGCCACAAGTGTGCTGCTCTCACAGGACCTACTTTGGTACTCATCACAATTGCATCTTGGGAGCACATTTAACTCTTATAGTCCATTGGAAAACCTATTTGGGTACATTAGTGTAAATTCTACCTTAGAGCAGACATGAAATCCTCGTGAAGCTGTTTTGGACACTGTGGAGTAGCACGGGAAAGCAAGAGCATTCCTCGTGCGATTCCTAAAGCAGAAATCCCTGCTAAATATCAGATGGATTAGAGTACAGTTAATTCTCGTCACATAGAAGGCAGATGGGACTCCTAATTCACTGCTAAACCTTTAGCTGACAGTGGGGAGGTGCAGGGTGAAGTTTACAATATTTCACGTGACAGACAGTAGCAACACTGATCGGAAAAGCCTTCATTTGGGAGGGGAGGGGGTGGGGGGCTCACTCTTCTGTATGAATGGATGCCTTTACATATTATGGGAAATTGACTTTCATCGAGTGTGTAATTCAAGAGCTAAATAAATGTTCACTTATCTTCTTATAAAATTGCGTGTGTTAAAAACTGTGAGGCTCAATGACATAACTTCCTCCATACTGGAGTGTCTACATCCATGACATCACCACCTGGGCAAAAAAACTGCCTTGAAGCACCGTTATGTCAAAGCCAAAGGGTAAGCAGAGCTGCAGAGTCAGCACAGATCAGGATATGCTCACACTATAGCCAGCATAAGCTTCTGATAATATTGTTTTGATAATGTTTGGGTGAATTATTCATTCGTCTGGGAGGGTAGTTGTGCTGTAAAATTATGTCTATAAATCTTTATCAATGAGGTATTTTGATGAAAGCACGTCCCGAATTTTAAGACGCATGGAAACTATTTGAAATGATCCTTCTGTTGATTTTCCAGGTCGGAGGCATGGCGTCGGCCAGCTCAAGTTCCAGGATGGAACGCGTTTCTCGGGACAGTTTGAGGATGGTCTCTTCCACGGCGCCGGAGTCCTACTCTTTACGGATGGATCCAGGTGCGCAGGCAAGAAGGAGGTGCTTTGTCCTCACTCAGACTACCAGTGATTTCGTAATCGTGAATTGTGTTTTGTCGCTCTGGCAGGTACGAGGGGGAGTTTGCGCATGGAAAGTTTCAGGGCCTGGGCATCTTCAGTCGTTTCGACGGCATGAAGTTCGAGGGAGAATTCAAAGACGGACGCGTGGAGGGATACGGTAAGTCCAGCACTACGCTAAAGCATTGTGCTCGGATGTTACGAGGCTCTGTCTGCCTTCAGGACTGTTGACGTTCCCGCATGGTACACATGGCATTCCACGGAACGAGGGCTTGTTCCAAAACCACAAACTCCAAAGGCGAGAAAAGTGTCCCGCTGTGGTGCAGAGGGCGCAGGCGTCGGCCACCAACGCTCGCAGTATCGCTCTTTGACTCTCACTAACTTTGACATCCATGTCATGGTCTTTGCTTGTTCGAGGAGTGCCTCAGGGAGGAATACTCCTCCCCCTCATGCTCCTTGTCCTCGTGACTTCTTTGAAACAATGGATTTATGAAACACATCAAACCAAGCCTTTAACATCAAGTTTTTTTCTACTGGAAACACTCATTAACAGTGTCTTAGCAGGCTAATAGTGAGCAAACCAACATCAAAATGCTAAGAAAGAGAATACATAAGGCTTATTTCACACATTTTACCTACGACACCTGCAATATGAAGGACTATTTTGACCACGTTAAAACAAACTGCCCGGATGATAAAATGAGAGGTATGCAAGTACAAAGTTCGAATGTTACTTAAATATAAGTTGAAATTTTACAATAGTAAGAAAACATAATTTATGAGAATGAAGTCGTCATTTTATGAGAATTAGCCTTTAGTTTTATATGAATAAAGATACTTTTTTTTTAAAGAGACTAAAGTTCAATGCATAAAAAAACGTTTCATTTTTTCATTATTTAATGCATAATATTTTAAGGTCATAACACTACAAGGAAGACACTCATTTACATTCAAGTCAAATGTGGGATACATCCAAGGATGCTCTGGGACACATCATCATCATTATTTACTGCATAATATTTTAAGGTCATAACACGACAAGGAAGACACTCTACATTCAAGTCAAATGTGGGGATACATCCAAGGATGCTCTGGGACACATCATCAGTGATGTGCCTGAGATCATCGGGGGTTTGGGGTCTTTCAAAATCATACCTGCTCTCTCAGGTGACCCAGCCAGGGTCGATCAGACTCCGGCTTGTGTCCCATGAGCATTGACCCACATCGCTTCTCCTGATCCAGAGCCATGTAGACGCTCGCTCTGCTGTCTCCATAGTGGCCTTGATTGATCTAAATTAGGCGTGTGAATTTTTGGGCAGGCTGTTGATTGAGGATGACATGACATAATGATAAAGTCGTAATGTTATGAGAATAATGTAACTTTATTCTGATCATATGAGACGTTGTACATGACAAAAGTTCTGTATTGTAGCTGAAAAAAGATCAAAAGTAATTTTATCGGGAAACATTGCCATTTCACCAGAAAAAAAATCATAAGATCTTCAAAATCTTACATTCAGGGGGGGAAAAAAAATAAGGGAATTTTAATGAAAAGAATTTTGATCATTATTATTATTAATTTTTTTAGGATAAATTATATTTCACAATTTTACATCAAAAATTCCTAAATAATGCGGAAACAAACGTGATACCTAATTTGGTTGCTATATTATGAGCATTAACCTCTGTTAAGATGAGGAAAGGATCTTGTTAAGGGACTATTTGACCTTTTATTAAAACTCAGACTTTCATTCTCAGAATAAACCCACTTTTGGTTTTCTCTTATAATTTCTTTCCAGCATGGCCCTGAATACTCCCGAGACTGCAGTAAAAGACAATTGGACTCACTTGCTCATTTATTAGCTCTGCCTACCTTCAAATGATGCTCTACAATACAATAGCGCACTGCAATAAAGAGTTTCTTCTTTTCATTATTACCAAGGGATTGTTGTACATCAATACAGAATGTAAATTGATGATTTTTTTTTTTTTAAATACACATGCAGAAAATAATACCCTAACCCTGTGGTCTACCTGATGGAATGGGGTGTTGTTTACATTGCGTAGGTTTATTATGTCTCAAATGAACTGTCAAACAAGCTTAGGTACAGTGCACTTAAAAAAAAAAACAACAATAACAAAAAATCCGCAGTAACACGTTTCCATTTTGTCCCAGGAATGCATTTTCTTCATTTCACTTTTGCCTTAAAGACGTTTTTCGGATCCCACAAGCTCATGTCATCATCCTCGCCTCCTCCCCTGCATCACTGACATCATCAACGCACGTGTGTGTGAGCGTGCGTGTCACACTAATGGATTTGTGGTGCGTATTTAAAGGCTGCCTTCACTTTGACAGACACATTGCTAAGCTGCGACTGCGGAGATCCGAGTGGCACTCTCTCAGCTCTCTGTGGAAAAGACCGCAGAGAGGATTTCATTGTATGTTGTTCACAATAGATGCCAGATATCTTCAAACTTGATGTTTTGAAAAAAAAGCCTTTATTCCGGGACCTAAACTGAGGCAGCTGAAAGAATTTATGTACAGTTTGTGTGTGTGTGTGTGTGTGTGTTTTGGTGAGGTGCACAGTGATTGTATTGACTTGGACCTACTGTACTGTACTGTATATCAGATGCATTGAGACGTGATGCACACAGGCCACAGCACAACTAGTGTGTGATGACAAATAGGCCTTAAAAAGTGTTGAGAAATCTTTTGCCTGCTTCCAACCAAAGAGACAATCCCGTGATACAATAATGGAAGTGTGAATCATAAAACTGGTGCGATCCAAATGAGTTTTTTTTTGGGGGGGGGGGGGGGGGTTCCCCTCCAATCGTACAAGCACACACAAAAATGTCAAATCATTGCAGACACAAATGAGATTAAATCTGTAGGTGACATCAGATTCTAGCTGTAAATGTTCTCCAAGTATCCTGTATATTATTGCTTGTATTCATGATAGCTATGATTTATAAGTGTAAGACAAAAAAAAAGTCAATATAAGCTCTTATGTTTGCTTGCTTTGAATTCTGCCTCTTAGTAGCATTAGAGTGCTGCGCAGTACAATTGTAAAATCGGGTTGGAAAAATGCCGAGTGATGCATCTTTCCAAAAGCGCACCGGGATCATTTAATATTCTCTCTGTATGTGAAATGTATGCTGTGTTTTTTTTTTCTTTTAATACTTTGTAATTTGACTTCATTATTTTCATTTCTAGTGCGTTACCAACAACAACAACAAGAAGCGTGTATGGTGCTTTAATAAAGGCGTGCCTCTCCAGACATTCACCGGCCAGGCAAATATCATCGCCATGGTTACACCTTACATTTTTATTGATTTATTTATTTATACGGAAACAATGTAATGCGACTTTGAGAGGAAAAAAATGTTGGACAGGAACACACGTGTCGTACAGGGGTGTTCAATAAAGTCTTGTCTTGAAAAGAAACGTGTGGTTTTGGCCGCTTGAAGCTTAAGTTGGGTTTTCTATGCATTCTCTACAAATGTCATAAAGAACTAATTGCAGTGCCAGTCTATTGACAGTATCAACAAAGGGAAAGTAGTTTTACTTGATTTTGGTTTATACAGTGGCTGTCAAAATTAGGATCGTTGAAATAAATTTCCACAACATCCCCAGCCTCCACCTGTGTCTACATGCACACAAAGACTCTATTTGACTCAATACGTTTCAGCATCTAAAGATAAAGCTTTCGTAGAGACGCTCACCACCAATTTTCTCTCATCAAATCTGTGAGATCCTCTCATTGAGTCCCAGTCGTCAGATAGCGCCTGCGGAGAGACACAAATGTGGCCATACATATTTGAGTTGATGGAGAAGAAATGAATGGGAAACTATGACTAAATATAGCATTGTGAGGATTGCGGTGACCATATGCGTTCCGCAGTGAATCACCCGTACTGCATGTCATATTTAATTGTAGGCATGCTCACTATAAGGAACATCAAATATCAGGCATACAGCAGCAGGATATGTAAGAGTTCATAATGATTATTAGGCAGTGGACTCATGACATGCATGGAAATAAACATATACCGAAATATACAGTAGGGTGACATTTCTGGCCTTGTTCAGATGAGATCGAGTTAAAAAAAAAATTCAACATTCTTTCATTCATCCATTTTCTGAACTGCTTGATCCTGACAAGGGTCGCGGGGGGGCGCTGGAGCCTATCCCGGCCGTCTTTGGTCAGTAGGCGAGGGACACCCTGAACCGGTTGCCAGCCAATCACAGGGCACACACAGACGAACAATCATCCGCGCTCACACTCACACCTAGGGACAATTTGGAGTGTTCAATCAGCCTGCCATGCATGTTTTTGGAATGTGGGAGGAAACTGGAGTACCCGGAGAAAACCCACATGTATTCACAAAAATGAAAAAAAAAAATTATTTATTGCTATCATTAATATTAAGTAGAATTAGTAGTAGTAGTAGTAGCAGTATGGTTGAACATGTAGCTGCCAGCTGGCTCACATTGACACTCATGTCCACAACATTAGGCATACAGGTACTTGTGATACAGCTTTTAAGACCTCATTTCTGAGCTGAATTAATTTAGAAATACATCTTTAATCCAGAGTGCGCAATTGCAGTGAATTAAACTGCTGTTTCTAATGTTTTCATTGACTCAGAAATGCCTCCCAGTCAGATATATTGCATGCATCACACCTACAAATGTACACGTATACTGTACCTTGCCATGGTCCTATGCTGAGTCTGTGAATGACGGAAGCTGGTCAATATTTTTTTAAATTATTATTTTTACAAGCATTATAAGTATTCTTTGCGTGTGTGTGTGTGTGTGTGTGTGTGTGTGTGTGTGTGTGTGTGTGTGTGTGTGTGTGTGTGTGTGGGGACAAACATAGGTGGTATCTGGATGACCAAATAAGACTTGGGCTGACACAATGTCCAAGCCTCTAGTCTAGTTAATGTATAACCAGTGTTGGTCAGAGGGCTGTGGTAGAAAGCGGCCGCAGCCATTTTAACCGCTCTGGACATGAAGCTTCAACCATTGAGGAGAGGCGTCAAGACCCTGACAGGAGTGTCCAACGGGTATTTCACTCATTTTCGTCACTTTTCACGACATTTTGCTTAGTTTTTTATTTTATTTTTTGCAGCAGCAGCTGCATTGTCTAAAAATCCCGCATGAGACATGACCTTATTTTGTGCGTCTCAATGATATTCTGAGCTAAGTTGTTTTTAGAGTCCTTGGAAGGAGTGCTGGAGAGTGCTCCCCCTTGGGGACTCGCTCATTCTGTTTATTTATGTGATCATGTGGGTAATGACAGGGAGACCCCAGGTCGGGTTGATTGGGAGGAACCTGAGTGGTGTTCTGTTCCTGGACTTCTGTGCTTGTCCAAAACAAACACCATGTTCAAACATAAGGGTGTCCATATTTGCACCAGGACACCCTAGGCCACATTTTGATGATTGATTTGTGGTTGTGTCATCGGATTTGCGGCCACATAAGGAGCCAGATGAATTGGCTCGGGCATCTTGTTAGGATGCCACCTGGACACCTTCCCAGCAAGGTGTTCCGGGCATATCCCGCTCGGATGAGGCCTTGAGGACAACCCAGTGAGAATGCTGATGATGATGACCCCAAAAAAGTACACTTCTGTCGTGCATTTCGGTTATGTTTCAAAAGTATTTGACTTGTGTGTGTGTTGGAGGTGTCATTACCATGGTGAGTCTCAATCGCTTGAGTGTAGAAGATCCCCAGGATGTTTCCCCACTGCTGCCCGAGGCCGCAGAGCCGAAAGTGACGACGCCTGTAGAGCACGAGCGAGAAGCAATGCCGCGCAAAGACTTTTTCATCAGCAGGTATTATCGGAGAAATTTGCAGTGCAGTGTTGAACCCAAAACTTATATATAAACACAATGTGACTTTCATACCTAATTAGCGGCATTACCTTTGGCAAATTTAATTTAACTGTATTTGTGCTATTGTACGTAATGAGTTGTCAAGTGAGTGTGCATTTTTGTATCCAGCACATCAGAGGTTAATAATGTGGTGTTGTGACCCAGGACAGAGAATGCTGTCCTGAGTGTGCTGCTTCTGGCTGGATGCTACTCTGCTATTCTGATTCCAGCATATTTCCCCCTGCGTAAATTTGCTATTACCGACGATCAGTATTCCAAACGGGAGGTGTGTATCGACACACAGAGAGCCACGCACACACCTATACAAAGAGACATACGTACACATACGCACACACACCCACATGCAGAAACACAAAAGCATGCTTACACCCACACAAAGGCAACACATAAAGACACAGACTGACATATATGCATTGTGACGCACACACAAACACACACAGGGAGAGACAAACGCACTCATTCCTACTCTCTTCTTCCTCCTCCACTTCCTCCTCAGGAGGTGCTGAACCTTTCGGCCTGGCTGCTGTCAGGCCGGTGTCAACGTCGCTGGTGCGTGGAGCGCCTGAAGCAGCTGCCATGTTCCTCGGCTCTGACGGACATCCCGGTGTTCCTGCGGCGAGAAGGCAGCACCGCCTGTTGGGACGCGCCCCCTCCTCTGGGGCTCCATGGAAGCCAAGAGCATCTGACCCGGGCTCTGGCCTTTCTGCCTCAGGTCGGCCTGCCCGAGACCCTGCGGCGAGACGGTGGCTGCAGAAGATGCGTGGTGGTGGGCAGCGGAGGGGTCCTCCACGGGAGCCGTCTTGGATTGCATATAGATCAGTATGATGTCATCATCAGGTCTGTTGGCAACTAAAGCACACGCATAGGAAACAAGAATTTAATTTGGCCATTTACTTCTGTCAAAAAAATAAATCTTAAAGATTTGAACATTAATGTATTCATCTTCAAAGTTAAATACAACTGAGCTGTGTTTAGTGATTCTTTTGCACACCACTAGAGGGAGCCCACATCACACACTTTTCTTTTTGAAAGCTCAATTCTGCTCATGTCATTTGTTGTCATAATTTCAGGATGAATAACGCTCCAGTGCTTGGCTACGAGAGAGACGCCGGTTCTCGCACGACCATCCGCTTGATCTATCCAGAGGGAGCATCCGGCTCTGCCGACGAGTACAACAAGACCTCCATTGTTGCTCTTGTGGTTTTCAAGACTCTCGACCTGGACTGGCTCACCTCTGTCATCTCGAAACAACCTCTGGTGAGTCCGCACGAGCCGAAACAGTTACGTTCACTAAAAATGAAATCCTCACTCACAGCCTTCGCCTCACACGTCTCACAGGGCTTCTGGTCCAAGTTGTGGTTCTGGAAGGAGGTGGTGGATGATATTCCCTTGAGAGCAGAGAACTTCCGGATCCTCCATCCAGAGATTATTCGCAAGACTGGAGAAGTCCTTCAGAAATACTCACAAAAACAAGGACGTGTGAGTATATTTGACATTTCAGTCCAGCGGTGATCAAGCGTCAAAGCGTGATTAATGCGAAGGGCTACCAGTTCGATAAGTCATGATAGAACAAATCTGCTTCCAAATTTGGACATAGATGGTTTCTGGCCAACAGTGATGACATGCAAATGATCAGTTCTACAACAAGGAAATCATGTAGCAGTTTCAACATCTTCAAGGCTGGTTTGACTTTGTTTTAGTTTCACTCCATACTGGTTGAGTCAATGTATGAGAATGTTGAAATGTTACTTCAAACATCTCCTGCACAGTTGATAAAGCTTTTATTTTGGTGACCAATTTAATTCTCTGGACGTGATTTCATATTGAAAAAAATAACTGAAAACTTGTTTCGCGCGTCACAGAAAGGATGATTTTTATTTATTTTTTTCAATTTTGGAGGGTTTGCTGTCGTGTTTTTGAAACCGATGCGCATATCAGACCAGTTTGCATGCACAAAATCTGAGTAGATACATTTTGTATTCACTGAGCAGACGCGACAACGGGTCACAGTGAACATGTGTTGTGTTGAAGTCAATCGTGCCCACACTGGGGGCTGGCGCAGTGGTGATGGCTCTGCAGCTGTGTGACCACGTGAGCTTGGCAGGCTTCGGTTACAACATGCAGCACCCTCACGCTCCTCTTCACTACTATGAGACTGTACGCATGGCCGCAATGAAGGCTCAGGTAAGTCCGCCTCGCACCTTTGGATATTGCATGCAGTTAGTACCTCCACCAAGGACATTTTTTTTCTGCTACAATTTGGTAGGATCAGGTGAAAAGTACTCCCAGTAATTGAGTGATACAAAACATGGTGGCATTGGGGAGGGCATTTTTGGTGCTACAGAGGTTATTTTTTGGGGGCGGCGGGCTACTGTACTAGGATTACGCTAAAAGGTTCATCACGTTGACTACATTTTGGGAAAGGGTGCGAGAATGTCGAAGAAAGAAGCCA